ACGAAAAATGATTGATTACAATAACATGTTTAGATTGCAAGTCTAATTATATTTATGTTTAATGTAATAAAAAATATATCATATAATAAACAGCAAGTTTAATGAAATTATATTTATGTTTAACTTAGAACGAATAGGCACATCGATCGTCTAGGACATTCAATACATGTTCCACTATCGCAGCATTAGTTCAGAATTTGTTTCCATATTGGCTGAATAAACTTCTGCATGTGAAGTACTGCAATATTTTTGTTGGTCTTCATCTTGATTAGTTGAGAAAGCAGGTGTACTTGGAGCAGGCACAATCTCAGTCTCATTTTTGAGCATTGACGAGACCTCCAACATGGAAGGCCGATCTTCCCATCTTTCTTGGACACACAATAATGCCACTTGCATGTATCTCTTCAGTTTGCATGTTGTGGCAGCATTATCGAGTGACGGATCCATGAAGTTCTCGCAATTGTCATTTCTCCAAAGTTCGTATGCCTGAGAAGATATATAGTCATCTTTTTAGTTTTTCCTCCTAAATTTTTTTTAAGTATAAGCCATGATAAAGAGTTGTAAGTTACTCACATGTTCTAGAATAGTTAGATTTTTATCCACTCCATAAAGATTTGATGTCTTCTTGCCACTTATGATTTGTAGCAGTAGTACGCCAAAACTGTAAACATCATACTTTTTGGAGTACATACCTTGTTTGACGTATTCTGGAGGAACATATCCACTGAATTGCAAGAAAGAAAAATTTGAGTACATAAAATTAACATCAAATTTTTATTGGAGCATTAGAATTTCTTGGCTTACTAAGTTCCGACAATCTTCTGTGTATTTGCTTCACTTTCGTCTCTCGGGAAAATTCTTGCAATACCAAAATCTGATATTTTAGGCTTCATGTGATTGTCCAGTAAAATATTGCTAGCTTTCAGGTCTCTGTGTATTACTGTGTATATTGAGTACTCCTGGAGATATAGAAGCCCTTGACTGACTCCTTCAATAATTTGAACCCGTTTCTCCCAATCTAGCCACAATCGCTTCATTGGATCTACATCAAATGAAGTTGAGTGATTAATTATATCTTATTCACATGAAATAGGCCAAACACGACATTTTCTGATATGCTAAGATACACAATCAGATACAGATGACAAATTTTTTGGAGATCAAACTTGTTTCTATTGGGGTAATTGATGGTAAAGTAGGCTCTTCAAGGATGTCAGAAATGGTGATAAGTTGATACCATAGAAGATAAATAGGAAGCCCAATGCATTTTCCATAAATTTTGTTCTATCCCTGGTTGGTTGCCTAAATATCCAGTGGAATATGACAATATGTAACGTTGGTATGCAACTACTTACTGTGTCAGGATTTTTTACAATAATCAGAGTATGATTTGTACTAGATGATCTGTCCTTTTTTACACTAAGAAAAATTATTTTGTTCTTAATGGACTGATTTCTATGAAACAGAATAATTCTGTCATGCAAAGCCATTTCCTCAGCATTACTTCAGCAAGCACAGTAGGAAGCGAAACTGATTACTGACCGAATAGGTATGTATCCAAGCTCTTATTTGGCATGTACTCATATATCAGCATCTTTTCTTCCCCTTCAATGCAAAATCCCAGAAGTTTCGCTAAGTTGACATGTTGTAATCTTGCTGCAAGTGCAACCTCATTTTTGAATTCCTCTGCCCCCTGTTTTGAGCTTCGTGAAAGTCTTTTTACTGCTACCTCTTGTCCATCTCCCAACTTGCCCTAGTAAAACCAGATGCATAATTAGTTCATTCAAATTGATGACATAGTACTCTTTGGAATAGGACTTTGTTATATTTGAATAAGAATTTACTAGTTCACTTCAGGAGGTTCTTGCTTTCTCTTATATTCCCTATTTTCAGACATCGTTTTGCTTCTTTCACGTTCTTTTCTAGGTTTTGAATATCTAAAATCAATCAGCGACCTCAAACGTTCCTATGCATTACTGAATTTTGATTTGGAGGATAAAGACGTGGATGGAACACTATTTTACCTTATATACAGGTCCAAACCCACCTTCGCCTAGCTTGCTTTCACATGCGAAGTTATCCGTGGCTGTTTTTATCTCATTGAAAGTGAGAACTTGGAGATTAGGATATACAACTCTTTTCCCTGAAGCGGTTTTTCCTCTGACTGTTTGAAATTAAAAAGGAAAACCTAAAAGTTAAATCTTTTAGTTTTGTTGTAAAACAGAATACTGGCAAAAATTTGGATGCTACCTCTTGACATGATCACTTTCCTTTTCAAGCAACATATTGCTGTTCCAGATAGGAGAATAGCTACAAACACTGTTGGCAATACAATAACCAGCAATGATTGTTTACTTTTCTGATCTTCCTCTTCTCCTCCAGCTGCGAATGCAGTCCTCAGAATTAACAATCCGTCTAGAAGCATGTTTTGACTAGGCTTTAAAGTATTACTTGTAACTTTACTTATTTACTTAAAAACTGTACTACTAACTTTTTTTTAAAAAAAATTTAGCAAAGACTCCAGTAATTTTGACTTATGCAAGAAATTCAAGAGTTTATTGGTGGCTTTCATGCTTTGTTATCACATTACTGGTTCTTTTTCATATTTTAACATTTCAATAACGGTTTATATGTTTGTTTGAATTCAGTAGTGATCCACATAAGTTTATTAGTTTCTCAGTTGTGATACAGTTCAAATTATTGACTAATGTCAGCTAGATTGAAGTTTAACACTTTAATTTGTATTGAAGTATCTAACTTATCCTGCATAGCCATCAGAAAGAAAAAAGAAGTAAAAGAGGGCATAACCGTTTGGGTTATTCAGATTGATGGTTCATTGCATTGCTGACCTGCTCTAGAAAGAATCCAATTTTCATCATCGTTGGGAACTTGAAACACGTGGTAACCAAGAAGCCCCTTATTCTTTGCATAAGAAACTTTTATCTTGACAGCCTCTACACCGTCAAAACCAATCCAGGATGATCCACTTTTCATGTAGTTCGTCATGTATGTGGAGTTGAACATTGGTTTGACACCATAGCTTTTACAGAACCACATGATGTGTTTATAGCTCATTGATCCATCTGCAGTTATGGCCCGGCCTTTTGCCGGAGAACCTATTGTGTTGTCATTGGGGTTTACGAGTGTCCAGGCATAACCATGGTATGGCAATCCCAGGACCAGTTTGTTGGCTGGTAATCCTCTTTTAATCCATTCCTTTATTCCGTAGTCTGTGTTTAGATTGCTTGATGGATCATATAATGCAGCATGCGCTCCTGTGAAATTATCCTTCAATGGCACATAATAGTCATAAGACCTGAGGTGCACCCAATCGACATTTCTTTTGATTGAATCTATTGGGTAAGTCATGAAGTTTTGAGTTGGTGAATATCGAGCTCCCATGGTCAAGATCAGCGGTGAAGTGTTCGAATGTTTTGCTTCAGAATTTACTGCTTCTCGCCACTCATCTAGAAAAGCTCCCAAATTGGTCATGTTGATAGGCATATTTGGAACAACGCCGAATAGATCAAGACCTAGAAATCTATGCTGTCTGGCGACCTTGATGGAAGATTCGATGAAGGACCTTCTGCGGGGAGATGTACTGACCATTTCGAAAAATTTTGAAGAATTTGACTCTCCTCCCCATGTGGACAAAAGGGTTATAATTGATGGATTTTTTCGCCTGACTATTTCTGTGAAGGTAGACATGTATCCTTCATCAGATGAGGATATAGAGAACTCATAATTCGACGAATTTATGTGTGCAAAGGCGAAAATGAGATGGGTAAACAGAGCTGAATTGATGTCTGGAACTGGAAATTCACTACCAGAATACCAGTAACCAGCTTTAATCCAAGCCTGTGCACTGGGAAAGATAACCAAGGTGACAAAAAGGAGTTTGATTCTGAACATGATTGAAGCAGCCGGGGTTTAACAGTATTCGTAACTGCAGGCGGCTTTTCAAGTCCAAATTCAAAGTCCCTGTGGAAACTGGAAACTACCAAGCTGGAGCTGGAGTAGAATAGGGGAAGAGAGAATTCTGATAAGTAAACCAATTCTTATGGCTATTAGCCATTGTCCCCACCCCCCATCCCACCAGACCAATCTTGTTTAACCATCCAAGACACTTACTTGGCCAAACTGATCTTATACAATTCAACGAGTTATTTGTTTGTTGGGGGCACTGGCTGCTGATTTATATATATCACTTATAAATTCAATTAGAATCAAACATTAACTTCAACTACGTATTCATAACTTCTATTAATTTATTATTTACATAATTTTTAAGACTCGTGGTTATTTCTCTTCATAAATCATTTATAAATTTACCAAATGAGGTTAAGAACCCGTTTGGCAGGAGATTCGCCTGGCCGGCAGGGGGCGGTGTGCTTATCTTGTGTGACAATACAACAGAACGAGTAATTCTTCCAAGCGAGCAGCTGTGTAATTTTTACTTATGTTTTTGGTAGAAGGGTTTCATAAAGAGCTTCCTCTAAAAAGGTTTTTTTAGCACGACAACTCATTTTCAGAAGAATTTTCAAATATGTTCAAAAATATCTTTTTAATCAACCTAAGTCAGCTCCATTGGTCAACCAACT